AAATTAAAACAAACACCAGATTTGTGACAGTTTTTTTTTTTTTTTGGTGACTGCTCAAGTAAAAACTTTTCAGATTGGATTTTATGAGAGTGAGAACTAAAGGTTACACAGAGGGTGGAACAGAAAACATAAAATTCACAAAGCTGATGAATTGTACCGAGTTTCTTCCCTTATGAATCAATCACAGAGGTCTCAGTCTCACAGCGGGTCTCTGTGAAGTAATCTCTTTTGCCCCGCAGTCTGTTTGTTCTCCAGCTCGCTCCTGTTAGGAGTTTCACACATTCGCCCTCCGCTCCACTCGTCTGTTTGACTCGTTTCTTTATTCAAACAAAGTTTCATCTAATTAGAATTTTAAAATATAGCAGAAATCAATTTCTCATTGTGTTACTTCAGTGTTATAGCGCTGACACGTTCAAGATAACGTCAGGAACTTTTCTCTGTGGGCCCCACTTTAATTAGTTTAGTCGTCTTTTGAGTGCCGAGATCCAAAAATCACAAAGATTTAGACAATTTCAAATGAGTTGATTCACAGTTATTAGAACTATTTCAACATTCCTTTTGATTCGATCCGAGGCCGGGAGAGATAAATTAAATGTAGTTTTGATGGAATATTTTCACCACCTCATCAAGGCTGCAGATTCTTTACTCGCTGAAGTAATGAGCTGAATCAGTCAAAAGAAATCCAATAAAGCAGTACCTCCAATCAGAGCCGAGTCAGTCTTCATGGCGTTCACCAACGGTTGACCCGAACCCACAGAACCAGCCCGATCTATAGAAGGAAGAAGGAAGAGAAAGGAAAGAAAGAAATGCACACACAAGAATGAGAAACCAGCCAGGAGAGAAAAAAGTGGACTTAAAAAGGTTGGAATAGAAAAACAGACAAAGAAGAACATTTAGAGACTCAATAAGAGCATCATCGTTTAGAGCAGGCCAGAGCAGCAATTCAGAAAAGTCCATTAAAGAGCCATAAAACTGGATGAGAACAAGACTGGAGGAAATAAAAGCGAGTGTAAACTCCTCTCCATGGTCCAGATTAATTATCTTATCAAGCACATTGTTATTTTTCTTTTCAACAAGGTGCACCGAGACTCTAATACAGCAGATCAGAACAGAATAAGAGCAGGATTTGTCTGAACAGAGATGTAATACATGACACGGGTCCAACAACAACAAATCAAGCCTTTGTTTTGGTGTCAAACCTTTATTTCCAGGAGTTCAACGACATCAAAAACCCAAACATGCACTGTAAAAACTGTTCTTAAAACTCATAACGTTATTAAAATATAGATATTTATAATGAAATTCCAGTCTAAATAAGACAAACGGGTCTGAGTTTAACAGAATAAAATATTTTATTGTAGGAAGAAAATGTCCTTTTTTGAGGGATGATGGGTCCCAAGAGGACATTTTGGACAAAGATGACAAAAATAACAGTTTATTTCTTCTTTTAAATAGACTTTGTTTTTAAACAGTGGAATCACATCTATTAGCTTCTTTATGCTAACATGTGCCAGTAATGCTGATACCTCCTGCTGCTTCTTCCTCACTACCTTCTCTTCATGCTGCGGGTTTTACCGATTCGGTTATTCCCGGGAGCTCTTGTTATCTTTCCTTATTCCTTTTCTTTCTTTCTTTCTTCCTCTTAATTTTAATTTTTCCATTGACCCTTTTTTCCCCCGATGAATCACTTAAAATGTTTGTTCTTGTGAAACATCTCATGATTTTTTCTTGAGAAGTGCTTCTTCTTCTAAAGTTAACCTCTGTGTACAGCTCACCTTTGTGTGACTGACCCACTTGTGGTTGAGTCATGTTAACTGACTAAAGCTCAAGTAAGCATCTTTAGCAGGGGCCTCTCCAGGTTTTGAGGAACATCTGGGCTTAGCCAAGACCACAAGTGACAATTCATTTTAGTAAGAAACAATAGTGTTACATATAAATGTAATTTAAGCCATGTAATATGCATAGTTTATTTTATATATCAAATACAGGCCATATATATATATATATATATATATATATATATATATATATATATATATACATACATATACATACATATACATACATACATATATATATACATACATACATACATACATATATATATATATATATATATATATATATATATATATATATATATATATATATATATATATTGGTACGAATAATGTGGAGCTTCACAGGCATCCTTCAAAAAACCAGAGAGTCAAACCACAAGCCGTTCTGGTACCATTACACCTGTAGCTCAGCAAACAAGGACCAGGCAGGACTAAACCCAATTAGCCAAGTAAAGAAATTACAACTACAGGAATCTGATTAGATCTAAATCTGGATTACAAAAATCAGAAAAGGACTGCAGGTTGTTGTGTTTTACATGATTCATTGCTTTTTTTAATCTATCCAACCATCTTTACTTCATGTAAAATTATTTTAATTCCATCTATGGGTGGGCAGTTTCAGAAGGGATATCATGTCATTCACAATATTACCAGTAATTTTTTATTTATCTTGTTGAGCTAATTTCATAATGTTATTTCGTCCACTCCACAATTCATGTGGATCATCAGCACAAAGTCTTTAAAGTTATCGAAGCAATCATGGCTAGAATCTCAGTTTTAATAAATATCAGCTATGTTCTGAGGAGTTTTGGCCTCTCCTGGCTTCCGTACCTGTAACCTGCTTAAGTGGAGAAGGGGTTTGGCTCGTCTCTGCACATAAGCGGGAAAATCACACCAGGGAAGCGGTGAATTAAAACGTTAGGTGAGGAGACGTGTGAGCCATGGTAACAAGTCCGGTTTGCTGTGAGGGATAGAAAGAGTAGCGAGCGAGCCTGTGAACAAAACGACAATAGAAATTCGGGGCTGAAGCCCTGTCGTAATCGGCTGGCGACGTGGCTGATCTTTAGCATCATTTGTTTTATATTTTGTGAATACACACCAAAGAGATCCGCCTCAGAGTGTGTCACATCTAAAATGGTCTGGGCAGAAACAACATTCTGGTCTCAGAATCTCCTCCTTATTTGGCTAGAATGTTGAAACGGCATGCTCCATCACAGCCTGGTCGCTCTGCTGAGCAGAGGTTGTGGCTTCTACTTTATGAAATGACTTTCTGCTTACAGCTACCAAAGCTGCTCAACACCTGTATCAGCTACTCAGTGACAGTCATGTATTTAAACAGGATTATTCACACAGAAATGGTTCCAACAGGCTGTTTTAGCTACCTTAACCTTTTTTTCTGTGTTGATGTAATCACCAAATATTAATGCATCACCCATCTGCTGTGAACTCCAACACCATCTGTGGTTCAAATGAGAGTAAGGCCTGACGGTTATTTCCAAGACGGGAGAAACGGGCCTTACTTGTTTATGAAACCGTTGTACAGCTGAGGCCTGGAGCTAAAGTTCACCACAGAGCTCCTCCTGACACCCATCTGCTTCTCCAACTCTACGATAGAGAGTTGGGTTTGACCTAAAATACCAGCTGCATTCCTGCAATCCTGGTCAACTGTCTAGAAGTAACACTTTCATCATCCAACAGGTAAATCCTGTCCAGGATATTTTTGTATCTTCATGCTATTTTATTTATGTTAGAACTCTGAAATATGAGTTTATTACCAGTAGAGTGGCTTCTGACAAACACAATTTAACTATTTAATTCCTAAAACAATAATCATGAAACTTTTTAAAAGTCTGTAAAAATACCCAAATGATTTAATATTTATTTTATTTCATTAGATAATTTTATATCAGCAGTAATTAAAATGAAAACTAACTGACGGTGTACTTACAGCATGCTCTTAGTATTTGAAGGGAGTAGATGCTGCCACTCTCAAAAATATCTCCCCTCTTCAGTTTTTACCCTCTATGTTTATTTACGATTTCATTTCTCATAAACTCCCGTTAACAGGACGGGAGTTTTTACCAGCAGCAGAGATGATTTCAGGCAGAAAAATACAAAATAAAAAAATAAAAAATTTCAACTAGTAAAATCTCATGTTGACTGCCTCAGTTAAGCAGTTAAAAGTTTAGATTTCATGAACAAATTGTGTTAAATTAGATTTACCATGTAGGCACATCTCATGTTTCACAGAGGTTTGAAGGTTCAATTAAACATAAATGCACAAAATCTCCCGGTGTTCATAATGGAAGGAAATACAATTTCAGAAACATATTTATGTACACTGTAAAACTAAAAAGAATGAATTTTATTATATTTTTCCTTGATAATTAAAATTTAATTAAAAAAAGTGTCAAATCCAGATTTTCACCTCCACATGGCCTCAAACTAAACAACCCACTGACTTTAGTAGCCACTTCCCTCCTAAAGCTAAGCACTTGTAGCATTCAACTCAAACTGTACGACTTCTGACTAAAGAGCAAGTCTCACTAGTCACGTCCTCACACTGTACGACCCAGTTCTTGGATGTGACCCGGCTGCTCACACTCGTCTGGTAGCAACACGGCTCAGCGCTAAACTCGTCCCGATCTTGTAGATTCTCGAGATGAGGGCAAAATTGGCTCAATAAAGTGAAAAAGTCATTTAGTGTACACCTGGTTTAAGCCCCTCTTCTTCTTCAATGGATAAGGCAGGCTGGATGCCCTTAGGGTGAACTGCTGCCATAGCAACCACTGCACAGCAACCACACCCTGTTACAGCCTCCCATGTACACCGATTGCAATGCCTTCTTCACCTTGCCCCTGTCCGTTACGTCCAACAGGGTCTGCAGACTAAACACAGACACCCCTGCAGCTCCCAAGCAGCCAAACTATATCCTCCTCTCTGCTGCATATTGCTGGCAGTGCATCAGAACATGGCCCACCATTTCCAACACTCCACAGTCACAACAACCATCTGGTGCCTCCCCACAAAAAAACAACTGCCCTCTCAGATAACTATAAGCCTCAATCGAGTTAAAACCACAGAATTACGTCTCCCACACCCAAGAGACAACCCATCAACCGGTTACAGACACTGCAGCTCTAAGCCCCTCCCCCATACCTGACAGGTGGTGCGTGTTCTCTGCTGCGTACGGATTGGCTGAAGCTGAAGAACCACAGCTGGACTGGACCAAAGGTCCGGAGATGACAACAGGACTGGTGCTAGGGTGCAGCAGAGCCGCTTTCAGAGGGCTGATGGAGTTAAACTGGACCACCGACAGACAGCCGGTGAAACCCAGTGAACCGAGCCGGGCCAGGTCCGGATCCAGGTCGTCAGCGTCTTAGAGGAGAAAAACATGGTGACAACTGTTTAAGTCTGTTCCTGCTTTTTATAAAAATAAGACAAAGATGATTTCATGATTAAAAAAAACATTTAAAAATGAAAGAAATGGGTTTAATAGGGAGCCGAAGTCTCCTCCCTTTCCAGTCGGCTCAGGGGTCCCTGGAAGAATGAATTAATAAGTCAACGGGGCCAAAAGAGCTCTTTTTAATCCGCTTTGTCGCATACAAGATAAAATAAAAAGTAATGATGTGTGTTTCGACCACACCTGTCACGTACTTTGATATTTATCAGTTGTAAAAATTCGTAATTCCTATGACTACAAATTAGACGGTACCATGATCTCCTCTCCCCTAGCGTAGCCGCTACTTACCACATGGCCAGATTTATGGTTTGGTCCTCCTGGACGAAGGATTCGAAGTTCGCTGAACTTACAGCCATTTTTCTTCTGCTTTTCTCCATGTCTGGTTCCATGACGTCAATCTGGGATGCGCATTTGTAGCCCTGGACTTATTTTCACACAAAACCTAAAATAACTTTTGCTGTTCCAAAATAAGAGCGTTCTTGGCATCATGTGAAATCCATGGCACATGACAAACGAGATTAGAAAATAGAGTTTTTAGCTCCGACTTGCATTCATTTTTTGTTTTTTACAGGGACCCGTCGTGCGGAAGTAGATGGGCGCGACTTAGGCTCCCGATCACATCCTCGCAATATCATCTGGCAGAAAAAAAATCCTAAATGCATAAATGAAAGAGATACTTTGTTGTTCTTAAAGCATAAAACATAACAATGGGAAACTTTTTTTACAGGAAGAGGTGCTTTTAAGGGGTGGCCAAGGTCCTCCCTGGAATATTGCTGGCCACCCTATTCCCCCCCCAGGCCAGACCATTCTCACATGCACTTTAATAAATCCCATTCATAAAAAAATAAAATAAAAAATACATATATTAATTTTCTTTAATAAAAGGCATAAATGTAAAGCCAATAAATACATATATGTGTTGATGCTGCATAGACATCAACAGTCTGGATACTTTAAAGACAAAAATAGACAAATTAAACTGTTCTAAAATGCAAAAACAATAAATGCTAAAATAAAAATAGAAATAATGCTTTTTTTCTGAAACCTTTTAATTTTTCATATTTGAGGTGAATGCATTGGATGCACATTTTTACCCCAAGGACTGATTTGATATGCCACCCTAAAATTTTTGCTGCCCATCTGGCCACTGGTATCTAATCTTAACAGAGACCAAGAAAGGAAAACTGAATCTGGACTAGTAACTACACAGCTTTGTCTTTTAACGCTTGTAGAAGAAATTATTTAAAATAATAATTAGAGGCTTGTTCTCAGCCAGTTGTGCCATTTGGTTCAGTTTATTAGGACATAAACAGGCTGAGTGACCCAGTTTTAATAGTGAAGTTAAGCAAATACATCACATAGATTTTTATTGCTCATAAACACTAAAACTGCCGACAAACTGTCAAACATCCTGCTTCATTTAAATTCAATTCAAATTCAAAGATACTTTATTAATCCCAGAGGGAAATTAGAGTTTCAGTACACACAATTCTGAGATCAGACATACATACATAGGCATAGACACATGACAAGAATTGGTGACTATGGTCATTCGCAACCCTAGTTGCGCTACCTTAATAGAGATCAGAGGGTTTATATGAGGATTGAGTCAGGTGGAGGAAAATAAGGCACTTCAGAGTTACTCTCAACAGAGAGGGAAGCTTTGCTATGCAAAAAACCAAACAAACACCTCAGACAGATCACAGACTTCAGACATTACGCAACATAAAAGTCCACTAGGTGGGGAGGTAGGGTTGGGACTCAAATCACTTCAGTGCGTGCAGCCGCATGGAGCAGCGCTCATCCCCTCCGTTTGGACAGGGGAGGGAGATTAATGGGTTAGAGGGCACACTGACTCCTAGATACAGTTCCATGGCCTTCACCAGTCACAGACCCGCCCAGGCTGGGATAGGGAGAAAGGGTTTCCATAGCGACGGCAGCATTCCACATTTTTTCTGAGGGGGAGTTTTCACTTCAGCCTCACAGGCTTCAGGGGCACCAGATTCAGAGAAGAATTGTTTTGTGGCCAGACAGAGATAATTTCCTCTCTGCCTTAAGAGTTCTGTTGGTCTTCAACCCCTCTAGATCCAATAATGACGTAATTAATCTATCCCAATCTGTGCTGACCCGTCAACTCTCTCCTTGATGGAATCCACTTTCTGTGCCAGAGCCTGAATCTCAGCCAAAGTTCCAAGCTTACGACTCATCTCGACAATTATATGAGTTTATGCGTTTACAGCGCGGTGTAATCCATCCCTGAGCTCCGGGACTGAGCCAATATTCCTTGAAAGCTTGTTAATTTTCCGGTAACCGCTCAGGCCAAACAGCAGAAATCCCGACATCAAAACGACGAATATCCAGGCATCTTCAGAATCCTCTACAGACAGTTGAGAGAGGCAGATCATGTTCCACTGTTTCCAGGAGTCCATGATATGCCCAGCTGGCTCTGTCCCAGAGGGGCATCCGGGGCCCCTTCTCCCGTTCTCATCGTTGAAAAAATTTTGTCAGTCACGTTGAGAGAGACCAACAAACCAGATCCATTTTTAATCATTTCCAGTTTGCAGAAAAAATGCAGAAAGTGCCGTGCAGACAGGACAAAGAGCCTTGGGATGAGGAAGGAGGGAGAGGAGAAAAAAAGCGTCTGTACTCTCCAAGAGCCGGAAGTCCCCATCCACCACTTCATAAGACTAATTAGCACTCTCCACCTTTATCTGTTCTTTTTACTGCTGTAACGCTCTCCATCAGTCACTTCCACTCCTTCACAGCAGCTGTTAGGGCCGACGTGGTCTCCATAAACAGCTGCATCATTGTCTGAGCTGATGACTGAGAGCTGACTGTGGTTTTCCACCTGAACACGTCTGCATGTAGATGAGAGCAGCAGGAAACATTCCTGCTGCCTGTGAGCTCCTCTCTGGCGACACGCTCCTCACTACATCACGTCTCTCCCTCTTTCAGTCTCCATGTTCTCCTTCTGGGTCCATTAGTTAGACTGATGGATGAGGAGGTGGGGAGGAAACGACAGAAAATCCACTTTGCTGCTGTTTTTCTGATCCTGATCTGACTTTTCGATGTTTTTGGTTTGCAAGAGGGGATGATGAGTCACACGTTGACATGACAGGGTTAAAACACACACAAAAACACTGAGTGATGATCAACTGTGTGTTGAAAAAAGATTTTACTTACTATAAGGGGCTGTGAATTATTTTAAGTTAAGGCCAGTTTGTCAAACAAACAAACAAAAAAAAAAAACGACTCAGCATAATTGCTGACATATTTAACGATGAAACCTGATCAGCTGTAGACAGACTTGCAAATGAGAAACAAAAGCACAAACTTTCTGAATACTTTTGTGTCCTTGGGCAAGACGCTTAACCCGCCTTTCCTGCTGATGGTGATTGGAGGGACTGATGGCGCCAGCGCTCGGCAGCCTCGCTTCTGTCAGTAGGCCCCAGGGCAACTGTAGCTACATCGTAGCTCATCCCCACCAGCGTGTGAATGTGTGTGTGAATAGGTGAATGACTGATTGTGTTGTGAAGTGCCTTGGGGGGTTGAAGAACCCTAAGAAGGCCCCATAAAAATACAAACATTTACCATTTTACTTTGAAAACTCACTCATTTATATTCCTTCACCCCATCCACTTCTCCTATGACTAAAAGAGTTTCAAGCTGAAGCGATTTTTGCTACATTATCCCATAAAGTGGTTCAGCAGGTCTCTGTTCTCAGGCTCTTGTCCATCTAAAGCTGGGGTGTTGAACTCATTCTGAATCAGGGGCCACATCCAGCCCAATCAGATATCAAGTGAGATGGGCCACTACCATAAAACCCTGTGTTGCCGACAACCAGGTCAGCCTCACAAACTGGGGTCTGTTTGTCAGCTTAAATCCTGGAGATTGTGGAGGCGTTCACCTGTCCACCCCAACTCTAACCCCTAATCAGGCTAGACTGAATTACCGGCACGAGAGATTAGAGAACATGGTTTTTATAGACAACTGCAGTCAAGGATTAAGAGAGATGAGTGTGAGAGGTTACCCTGGCAATACCAGTTATTATTTAACATATTTTTATCAAGAGGAATCACCCATTGAGCAATTTTAAAGGGGAGGGGGGGGGGGGGGGTCTTGCAGTCACCATAGGGACCCTAATGAGCCACTGACAGGTACCTTGGTGAAATTAATGAGCCATGACAGTTACTATGGTGACTAACGAGCCAATAGCAGTTACCTAGGTGAGTTACAAGCCACTTAAAGTTACCATGGTAAGCCTAATGGGCCGTGGGCCATTGGCAGGTGAGGGCGACCCTAAAGAGCCATGACAGTTACTGTGGCAACTCTAATGAGTCACTTGGAGTTGCCAGGGTGATACTAACAAGCCATTTGCAATTACTACAGTGACCCTAACGAACCATTTTCAGTTACTATGGTGACCCTAACGAGCCATTTTCAGTTACTAAGGCAACCCTAACGAGCCAGGGCAGTTAATGCGATGACTCTAACGAGCCAGGGCAGTTACTACCGTGACCCTAACGAGTCATTTTCAGTTACTAAGGCGACCCTACCGAGCCATTTTCAGTTACTATGGTGACCCTAACGAGCCATTTTCAGTTACTAAGGCAACCCTAACGAGCCAGGGCAGTTAATGCATGACTCTAACGAGCCAGGGCAGTTACTACCATGACCCTAACGAGTCATTTTCAGTTACTAAGGCGACCCTAACGAGCCAGGGTAGTTACTACGGCGACTCTAACAAGCCAGGGCAGTTACTATGTATATATATATATATATGTATATATATATATATATATATATATATATATATATATATATATATATATACATACATTTATACATATATATACATTTATACATACATAAATACACATATGTATATATATATGTGTGTATATATATATATATATATATATATATATATATATATATACACACACACACACACACACACACACACACACACACACACACACACACACACACACACACACATATATACACACATACATATATACGTATAAATATACATATATACCTATACAGGTGCTGGCCAGTAAATTAGAATATCATCAAAAGGTTGAAAATATTTCAGTAATTCCATTCAAAACGTGAAACTTGTACATTATATTCATGCAATGCACACAGACCAATGTATTTCCAATGTTCATTACATTTAAATTTGATATTCATAAGTGACAACTAATGAAAACTCCAAATTTGGTATCTCAAAAAATTAGAATATTCTGAAAAGGCTGAATATAGAAGACACCTGCTGCCACTCTAATCAGCTGATTTACTCAAAACACCTGCAAAGGCCTTTAAAAGGTCCCTCAGTCTTGTTTTGAAGGCACCACAATCATGGGGAAGACTTCTGACTTAACAGCTGTCCAAAAGACAATCATTGACACCTTGCACAAGGAGGGCAAGACACAAAAGGTGATTGCTAAAGAAGCTGGCTGTTCGCAGAGCTCTGTGTCCAAGCACATTAACAGACAGGCGAAGGGACGGAAAAAATGTGGTAGAAAAAAGTGTACAAGCTCTAGGGATAACCGCACCCTGCAGAGAATTGTGACGACAAACCCATTCAAAAACTGTGGGGGAGATCCACAAAGAGTGGACTGCAGCTGGAGTCAGCGCTTCAAGAACCACCACGAGGAGACTCATGAAAGACATGGGATTCAGGTGTCGCATTCCGTGTGTCAAGCCACTCTTGAACAAGAAACAGCGCAAGAAGCGTCTCGCCTGGGCCAAGGACAAAAAGGACTGGACTGATGCTGAGTGGTCCAAAGTTATGTTTTCTGATGAAAGCAAGTTCTGCATTTCCTTTGGAAATCAAGGACCCAGAGTCTGGAGGAAGAGCGGAGAAGCACAGAATCCACGTTGCATGAGGTCCAGTGTAAAGTTTCCACCGTCAGTGATGGTGTGGGGTGCCATGTCATCTGCCGGTGTTGGCCCACTCTGTTTCCTGAGGTCCAGGGTCAATGCAGCCGTCTAAGTTTTAGAGCACTTCATGCTTCCTGCTGCTGACCAACTTTATGGGGATGCAGACTTCACCTTTCAACAGGACTTGGCACCTGCACACAGTGCCAAAACCACCAGCACCTGGTTCAAGGACCATGGTATCCCTGTCCTTGATTGGCCAGCAAACTCGCCTGACCTTAACCCCATAGAAAATCTATGGGGTATTGTGAAGCGGAGGATGCAATACGCTAGACCCAACAATGCAGAGGAGCTGAAGACGACTATCAGAGCAACCTGGGCTCTCATAACACCTGAGCAGTGCCACAGACTGATCGAGTCCATGCCACGCCGCATTACTGCAGTTATTGAGGCAAAAGGAGCCCCGACTAAGTATTGAGTGCTATACATGCACATTCTTTTCATGTTCATTCTTTTCAGTTGGCCAACATTAGAGAAACAAACATTTTTTCATTGGCCTTTAGAATATTCTAATTTTCTGAGATACCAGATTTGATGTTTTCATTGGTTGTCACCTATAAATATCAAAATTAAACGTAATAAACATCGGAAATACATTGGTCTGTGTGCATTGCATGAATATAATGTACAAGTTTCACGTTTTGAATGGAATTACTGAAATATTTTCAACCTTTTGATGATATTCTAATTTACTGGCCAGCACCTGTATATATATATATATATACGTACATACATACATATACATATATACCCTATATATATATATATATATATATATATATATATATATGAATATTAATGTTTTTATTTCTATTTCTCTCTTTGTGTGGAATTTGAAGGTTTAAATATCACATATAATCTTAAGGTTTGTTATTTTTGTGCAGCAGTTTTAAACTTTCGGGTGAATTAAAATGACAGAAGAAAAGTAGCACTCAGTCATGAACTAGTGTTGAAGAAAATACTGGAATCTTGTCACGTCTTTTTATGCCTTTTTCCTCCAAAATAACATTAATAACGCGTCCTGGTGATAACATTTGAGTTTTTTAAACCGAGTGAGGAACAAGGCCAAACACCTGAGAGTTGTTATGTAAATGAGTCAGAGTGCTTTTTTAAAAGGCCTCGCTTGTGCTTGTAGTGCCTCTTCACTTACCCTGCACTTGGCCCAGAACGAGAGACTCCATGCTGCTGAACTCTCCGTCTGACGTTAGGTTGAATTCTTCTCTGTTATTGTTGTCAACCTGGAGAAAAACAGAATAAAGGCTGAATTCATCCTACAGGAAAAATCAGAAGAAGCTTCTAAAAAATATTTAGCTAAAAGACAAAAAAGTTGCTTTGAATCAACATACTTCATGCAAATGAAAGTTTGTTGACACAACTTTACCACAATCGCTTGTAGTTGCACCCAACTAAAGATACAACAATTCAGAATGATATAAACAGATAAGGTGAGGCTCGTATTTCAGAGTGAACCTGGAGGCTGCACCGGGGTCACCTTGTTATTTATCTCACTGTGTTTATAATTACACAGACACCCAGGCAGCTGCTTAGATATATTTCCCTTGTTTATCATCTGGGGCTGTTGACAAGATAGGAGGTTCAGTCCAAGTCCAGACATGATAAGGTTGCTTCATATTTCATTGTGTTTTGCTGTCCGGCTGCATCTGGCTGAAGTGACACAGAAGTGCTGACTACAGCTTTATTAAGAACAGAAATATACTGTGAAGTAGTACGCACAGGGGTGTTCATATCTGCCCTTGAGATATGCACCCTGTTGGTAAATGCAGACTAAAAAAGTTTCATGTTAATCAACGTGTTTACATTGACTGCACAGCAGTAAACTGGTGCAACACAACAACAGCTGTGGCTTCACAGTATCATACGCCAACGCAGAACGCATAAATCTGCATGTTGAAATGCAGAGTAAAATCGTTTAGGCCAGAGCAAGGGAATCGGCCGGCGGAGGCGGGTTAATCCGTCCAGTCAGTCAGAATCAAATGTTCTGTAATCTGTTTAAATGGGGAGATTTTTGTTGAGTTTACAACAAATAAAACACACAATTCAGACTGTTACATCACTCATGTTCCAGCCGGTCGCTCAGTCATCAAAATGATTCAGAAAAGTTATCACAAAACAGTCGCCCAACTTTCAACATAATCAGCATCATTTTATGTTTCTGCAAACCAACAGTATGAATAGTAGGTGCGAGGGGTGGAGGTGTGTGCGTGCAGTTTTTTACTCCTGACAAAATAACACGTGAGGATCAGCAAGCAGTGTAAGGTAACTTGTATGAACGATAGAAACAACTCAGCTGAAAACTGTTGGTGTTACTGGACATTTTGCTCAGTTTTATGGCTTTTCGTCAGACTCTGAACCAAGGAATGGCTGCAGGCAGTGAAAGAGAAGGCAAAAAACTCCAGAGCACCCAGTGACTCCGCCCCTAGCCATTCAGCAGCCAGAATCACGATGCCAGCCCGACTCAGCCTTGCCAGGTACATCAACGGAGCAGGGACTAAAAACTGGGGAGAAAGTAGAGGGAAAATACAGAACCGTGCCCTTAGGAACAGCGGTCGGTCGGAGTTGCTCCAAGTAGCAATCTTGGAAAACCATCTTGAGTGTTTGATACTGTTGATTAGCTTTGATTTCACCTTGAAATGTGCCGACTTCAAATGTAACACATTGTATAGGAATATACATGATCCTAAATTGTAAAAAGAAATTTTAAACCAATGCTCCAGTATTTAAACTCACATCGGCATTACACCAGGATACATCAGCTCTGAAGCTCCACGAAGTGGATCGCTCACGAAATTTGCCCGCTTATCTCCTGTTCACATCAGGCGAGAATTGTCAATGAGCGCTTTTGCTCACCCCTACTGTTTTCTAAACCCCTCCACCCCACCTCCCGTGCCCTTGCTGTGTGTGTGTGTGTGTGTGTGTGTGTGTGTGTGTGTGTGTGTGTGTGTGTGTGTGACCAGTTTGCCCTGCTTGTTGATATCACAAACTGCACTGATCGTGCTGCTGTTTTGTAGACCTGTTCCTTTCTAAGTGGGTAAGTAAATAACTAGTGTTAACGGTAGTGTACAACTGTTGTATATTTACATTTGAAATAAACATATTCATTTGTATTCACATTTATGAAATACATCTTATGCTCTAAAACTGCATTTAAAAATATGGAAACACTACGCTTCTCCGCAGGAGTGTGTGTGTGTGTTTGTTCATTTTCATCTCTCTAGTCTGTTTAGATACACAAAAATTATCACATTTATCAAACACAATGTTTTATTTTGAAATATTTCTTTATTTAGTTACATTTACTGGCCTGCCTCTTCTGTTTTGGTTTGACTTCCTGCCAGAATAGACGCAGCTCATGAAAAAAATAGAGCAAAAATAGTGCTGCACGGCATGAGTCTTCATTGCACTTCGTAGCTGATGTGACCGAGACCGTACTTTAACAAGGGCGCCGAATAGAAGCGTTCTTCTTTCCACGGCACTTCTGATGTGAACCAGGTGTTACTGTTTTTTACATGATTGTAAGAAAGCCTACCCTAACCTGTTCAAGAACTGAGCAGCCTGTTGTGAAATCTATAGTAGAAATCATCATCATAATCTGCATAGAGGGTTTTCTGAACATGTGTACAACTTTCAGGTAGCCTAATAAAGCACGAGAAAAAGAGCTAAGTCCTAAAGGTGAACCTTGTGGAATACCTCGAATGCAACATTCTCAAATGGATGTTGTAGGGCTGTCATGGTTGACACGTCTCTACAACATTGCGTGGTCATCGGGGGCAGTTCCTAGGGAGTGGCAGACCGGGGTGGTGGTCCCCATCTTTAAGAAAGGTGACCTGAGGGTGTGTTCCAACTATAGGGGGATCACACTCCTCAGCCTCCCTGGAAAGGTCTACGCCAAGGTACTGGAGAGGAGGGTCCGATCGATAGTTGAATCTCAGATAGAGGAGGAGCAATGTGGTTTTCGTCCTGGCCGTGGAACTGTGGACCAGCTCTATACCCTTGCAAGGGTGATGGAGGGGGCATGGGAGTTTGCCCAACCAATCCACATGTGCTTTGTGGATTTGGAGAAGGCTTATGACAGTGTCCCCAGGGGCACCCTGTGGGGGACGCTCCAGGGAGTATGGGGTGGGTGGCTTTCTGTTAAGGGCCATTCAGTCCCTTTACCAGAGGAGCGTGAGTTTGGTCCGCATAGCCGGTAGTAAGTCGGACCTGTTCCCAGTGAGGGTTGGACTCCGCCAGGGCTGCCCTTTGTCACCGGTTCTGTTCATCACTTTTATGGACAGAATTTCTAGACGCAGCCGTGGTGTGGAGTGTGTCGAGTTTGGTGGCAGGAGAATCTCGTCTCTGCTTTTTGCGGATGATGTGGTCCTCCTAGCTTCATCCAGCTCTGACCTTCAGCTCTTGCTGGGTAGGTTCGCGGCCGAATGTGAAGCGGCTGGGATGAGGATCAGCACCTCCAAATCTGAGACCATGGTTCTCGACCGGAAAAGGGTGGCTTGCCACCTCCGGGTCGGGGGAGAGGTCCTACCTCAAGTGGAGGAGTTTAAGTATCTCGGGGTCTTGTTCACGAGTGAGGGTAGGAGGGATCGGGAGATCGACAGGCGGATTGGTTCGGCGTCTGCAGTGATGCGGACGCTGAGCCGATCTGTCGTGGGGAAGAGGGAGCTGAGCCAGAAAGCCAGGCTCTCGATTTACCGGTCGATCTACGTCCCAATCCTCACCTATGGTCATGAGCTTTGGGTAATGACCGAAAGAACGAGATCGCGGATACAAGCGGCCGAAATGAGTTTCCTCCGTAGGGTGGCCGGGCTCAGCCTTAGAGATAGGGTGAGGAGCTCGGACATTCGGAAGGGACTCTGAGTAGAACCGCTGCTCCTCCGGATCGAAAGGAGCCAGTTGAGGTGGTTTGGGCATCTGGTCAGGATGCCTCCTGGACGCCTCCCCGGGGAGGTGTTTCGGGCATGTCCTGCCGGCAGAAGGCCCCCGGGTCGACCCAGGACACGTTGGAGAGGTTACATCTCCAATCTGGTCCGGGAACGCCTTGGGGTCCTGCCGGAGGAGCTGGTGGACAAGGCCGGGGAGAGGACGGCCTGGAGCTCCCTAATTGGGATGCTGCCCCCGCGACCCGGACCCGGATAAGCGGAGGAAGACGAAGACGAAGACGAAGACGAAGAAGCAACATTCTCAAAACCCTGGCTCAGACTTGATCTGTAATTTCTAACATGACCCCTGGTTCACAAGGAAAGATCTACTGAAGTGGTTTTACCTGCACAGACACAGAGTCCATCCTTTTTCTGACGGTAACGGTATGTAAATGTCCGTTGGCCAAGCCCCTTACGCTGCTCCTCAACACTTCAGCTTCTATGCTGCTGTCCAGTTCGTATCTCAACTCCAGCTCATCTTCATGCACATAAAAACACCAAAGAGACATGGTTAGATAAAAGTCTTTAGCTTCAAAATAAAGTGTAAAACAGGGTTTATCTTCTGCTGATTGTGATTTCATTAGGTTTTCTGTAACACAAGGATAAAATCTTGTATTATTGTAATTGAGGATTTCTCCGTTGCAAAAACATTTGCTTTGAATCTCACAATCAAACAAATAAAGTGCAGATTCGAGTAAAGCCTTGAGAACAGAAAATTAAAAGCACTTTTTAGAAATCAGGTGTAATCTTTGTTCAGGTAAAGTCCAGAGCAAATACTACTCACTAACTGTTTGTTGAGAATTTCAGGTACTTATTGAAGTCTTCCATCTACCTGCTGTAGCTGTAATAATTAAAAATAAAGAGTCCTTCAGTGGTTCTGTTGGGTTCAGGAGGAGGTTTATCTGCAGTCAAGAGTTAAAACACACGTTGCTATCTAAGGGCAAACAATCGTAAGCTCCTGGGAATCTAATTGGGTGTTTCATCTTAAGAAGTCAGCACAGAACCTTAATGTTCTGCTTTCTACCAGCTTCCTCCGAGTCATTAAAGGCAGAAAAAATCCATTTACAGCTAATCGAGCTGCAAAGTACCACTTCTATTAGACTCCTGGATCCTGAAAATCTGACTACAATGTGACTCCCACGACCCCGAGAAGCCGATATTACAACATTTTTCACACTGAAAACAAGTTTTTCAGCCGACTCATTCAGCAGGAACCCGACCTGTTAGCAGCCCAACAGACTAACTCCTGCAGCACATGGCCTCCGTGACAACACCAGTAAACACGTGGCCTAAGGTTGTGGGTAGAGCCCACATTTTGAAGATGTAAGTGAATAAGAATAAGTCCAGGGAGACAAAACACTAGTACACATTGGGATTTTTTCAAAATAAAAGCCCGTTGTCCTCACCGTGCTGGTTGATGAGCAGAGCCAGGTACCCTCTGTAGTGAGACCTGATGAAGAGCAGCAGAGCTGGACTTTGCGTCGTCCTGAAGCTCAGTGAAACATTTTCTCCCCCGATGATGGTGTCAGAGTAGATGGAGGAGGGTAGATCGCTGCGGTTTCTGCTCAGCTCATATGGCTCCTTGAAGACGTACACGATGGATGTCCCAGACTTAAAACTGGCCGACACCTCTGAGGACAGACGAGATTCTCACAAGTGATTCAAGTTTAATGTTTAGACACCAAGAAGAGGCAGAACCTGCTATTTGTTGAGTTTTATTCTACTGCTCCTGCTTTGTTTTTCCAACAAGAACCTTGTGAAATGTTTAACACGAACAGCGTCGGTGTGACTCAGAGGAAAACAAAGTGGAAGATGAGGTGGGAGGAGGGTTAAGAGGAACCTCTCAGATATGACTGAACTAATAAACATAAAGTAATGACACATCATTGCTCACTTTATCATCAGACTCACTCAGTGACTTCAACGTGTCACAAGAAGTAATTTGCATCAAAATGTTTATGTTGAACGGATACCAAGTCCTTCCAGATGGATGACAAAAGGGGAAAAACCCAGGATCTTGCTGGGCTGCTACTGCTGCATTGGAGTTTCCTAAATGTTTCTAAACGGTTCAGAGGGTTCTTGGATTTTCTTGCATGTGGAAACACCCAAATCGCTACAAAAGAATACCTCTCATGGTTATCGGATTTATCGCCGGTGTCTGGAACCTCGCTGGGTTCAGGTTCTGAGAGTCAATAGGTGGGAGGACTGGCATCCATCTTTGGGAAGGGTTTGCAAAGAAATCCCAACATAAATATGATAAATAGTGATAAATGACCTGCACTTGTACAACGCCTTTCTGGGTCAGAGGACTCCAGAATGCTTTACACTACAGTGAATCATTCATCCATTCACACAAAAACGCCGGTCTCTCCGTCTTGCCCTCAGCAGCATTTTCCTTAGGGAACTGGGATCAATCCATGAACCCTCTGAATACTACCCTACCTCTTCCTCCTGAGCTACTGGTGCCCATTTAGGACACTTTGTGATGAAAGTTCAAGAAGAAAATGTAAATGACATTCATGATTAGTTTGCATTTAAGAAAAATATAAAAGTTCTCACATGTGTAGTTTTGTTCCACTTGGATTTTACTCCAATTTAAAATTAGAATAAATGCTAATTTTTTTCTCTCCAAATAGTCAATCACTTCCCAATGGTATGGAATCAGATAGGTGATATTACGTGTTTTTTCTTACTATTTAAATACAATAATAAGAATACAGTGAGATTATTAAGATCCATGATTTCTCCAAATAATAAAAAGCTAAATTAAAAAGGCTCTTGGATCCTCAAAGTCTTCCAGCCCTTTATTCAGGAGAAACAATTCCTACAATGTCCAAAATTTTTTTAAGTCCTCTTCACAAGAGTAAGATGCTGCTTTGCTTTAAAGAGTCACATTCATGCTGTATTTTATCTTCTGATGGGAAAAGTCTGCCATACAAGGTAACTGTTTGTTTTAGAAAGGAGAGATGTCTTGAAGAAGGTGGTGAAGTTTGTTGCATTATCTCCAATAAAGCAAAACAAACCTTTTTTAAACCAGGAAAGGAAGAGTTGAGTGTTTTTAACGACTTTTCCATCACTTCCACCATCTGTAAAAAACTGCTTGGAGTCCTTATTGGACAGTTGTGTTTATTCAAACATCAATAGTTGAGAGAACACGAGCTTCTGGGAAATTAAAATCATAATATTTAAATAAAGAACAATACAACATTTTAACATCCAGTGTGTGTGTGTGTGTGTGTGTGTGTGTGTGTGTGTGTGTGTGTGTGTGTGTGTGTGTGTACCTGTCTGGCAGAAGACTCCAGTGTAGGCGGACGAGCTGCAGTCACAGTGGAAGCTGTTGGGTTTCTCCACACAGCGTCCCTGGTTTTGACACAGTGACCCGTAGCTGCTGCAGTGACCCGGGCAGCCGGGTCGAACCCCGGGTGTGATCTTGGCCCTTTCCTCCAGGTCCAGAGTGACGCCATTCAGCTGCAGAGAGCGAATACACCCCCGGAAACCACGCTGCCTGGACGCTGTTCCTCCTGGAAACAAAGAAAACTTGTATAAATGTGAATTAAAAAATACCAACAATTATAATTTTTATTGAACTGAGTGAATGGTAACTGAACCGACATGAACAAACAAACGCTTTAATTTGTAAGGAAACAGAGATTGATGGTAACTTGTTTTGTTTCTCTCCAACAGGACATTTAAATGGAGCCTCTAAGACACGGGTGTCCAAACATTTCAGGACAAGGACCAAAACTGCACCGAAAAAAATTCTCATTTTTAGACCTCTGAATTCAGAATATTTTGCTAGTTTTAAGAATTCTAGCAAGCAACTTTTACTTACCCCAAAGGCAGACTGTTTTTAATTCAAAACAAGAACATTTTGATCATATTTAAGAATATTTGCCATATTTTAAATTATGTAATTTTTCTAGAGAAGAATGTTTTTCTTTCTAGATTAAAAATAGGATAAATGTCTAAAAATGACTTTTTTCTACTTTATTAGAAGTCAGTTTTTGCATTGTGTCAAGCTAAGTCCTCACGGGCCACAAAAACGTGTTTTGAATTTTTATAGAAAAATGCAAAAAACATTTGGGGGGCTTTTTTTTCCTTGTTCAAAAGTAGGCCTAGGATGGGAATAGTAGTAAGAATATTATAAAAAATCATCAATCAACCACAAGACTACCCACCTTTGACAAGCTAAACAGAACAAATGACTCTCATATGTGATCCTAAATCAGATCCACATCTGATGTCTTCAGAATGACTATAATGTGAGCATTTTATCCAACTTTGCAACTTTAGTAATGATTAGCACACTGGCATGTTGTAGCATCTTTATTTACTTCCATAAAAAGACTCTTCTGCTCATGTGGTTTATCTCAGGTAAGTAGTCTAACCACAGTGGAGTCTGATGGCGCTGGCATTTGACTTTTAACAATCGTTTAAAATATGCAAAAAATATATATAAAAAAAAAAATCAGGACTAAGCATTTAGACCCGAGGCTCTGTCTCAGGAGAAGAGTTAAGAGTGAGGGAGGTTGGGGTAAAAGTTTCACAGGGTTTCCTGATAATTAACCAGATCTGGTTTTCCAGAAGCTCGACGACGAGAATGCAAAAACAGTCGTGCTGCTAAAACGCGTCTGCAGCTGACAGAATAAATGCATGTAACAAAAGTTCTAATTCTGTCTTTAACATTTCCTTCAGCTGGGATTTTGTTGTTCTAGTTCAAACATGACAGCCTTTCAGCTGCACTTGTTCACAGATCACACGCCGAACCTCTTATTGTGCTCTGAGCGTAAACTCACAAAGCAGCTGTTTGCTCTCACAGGCTGGAGATGACAGCTTCCTATTCTTCAGCTGCAGCTTTTCACACCAATAAATCACTCGTCTCTATAAACCTCCCGTCTCTGCTCTGATATGGCTCATAAATTATTGAAGCAGTAAAGCAGCAGAACACAAAAGCCTCCTCAGACATCTCTATTGACACAATGAAGCAGTTGTCACCGTTTTATTAGTTAATGACCAACAACAATGCTTGATAAGATAAAGCGTCGGATCACCGGGTAACAATGATCTACTTAACATAAACCATCAGATTTTTATGCTAATGTCTTCAAACATTTACGGGTATCTGAATAAGTCGCTGTTTTTCTTCAAGTTTGTAAATAATTCTGATCTTCATTAAAGGAGTAGTAGGCAGTTTTGACTTGCTTTTGGCACCCCCTAGTGTCCATTTAATAAAACCAAAAGTGAAACTTATCTCCTCACTGTGCGTTCATCTTTTTAACACCTTAATCTAACGGCTGAAATGTCTCCTCGGCCTTCATTAGTGTCTACAGGAGTGATTCGTCACTAAATAAAAAAAAATCAGCTGTGCTCACAATCTAAAACTGCAGACTGCAGCACCAGGGATGTCAGCCCAACAGGGACTGGTCTGGAAGTGCAATATTCTGGCCACAAAGAGAGGTGGGGGTCTGAGTGACATATCATTACCACTGTAAAGGGTCTTTTTTTTAGCACATATTGGCTCAAGAAAATTATAAAAGTTGCAAAGTATCCCTTTAATGCACACTAGTTTAAAAATGACTCATTTTCTGTTTCCTCCTGAGGGTTGTTAGGATCAACATGACATTAAAAAGAAGACATGAGGCCTGTTTCTACTATTGGAACTTCTGGGTAATGTCACCAAACCGGTTCAAAAGGCTCACTTTCCAGACTTCTTCAGGAACCAAACGAGTGTCTCACTGGGGTGCGTACTCGGAAATGGCCCATTGCAAACCAGTTGCAAACTTGATGTCATGCAAAGATGAGTAAATAAAAAGCTGAAATGGGAGGAAGTGAGAATCGTCAGTTTCTACATATTAAATGGAGCTAAAATACAAAAGAAGGTTCTGCAAAAAGACGATACAGACATCGGATGTTTGCCCTTTGTGTCGGTGAAGTCCAGCAGCTCTTTATCAAGCCAATTTCATACGATGGGTATTAAATCAGAACAACAATAAAAACACAAAAGCTTGAAGTAATAAAACATTTTATGACTTTGGAAACTTTACTCTGGTAACGTTTTACAATAAGGGATGCTTAATTAGGGAATGACTTAGGAGGTGCACAAAGTAAAGGCTAAATTAAGTGACAGACAAGTGAGATGTAGATTACTCTGACGTTACAAATGCTTTGCATCCTTATTGAAGTTTATAAAAATGAGCCTACAGGTATTGCATTAATCCCTGATTCATTCCTTATTTCTTTCTTAGACAAGTGATTAAGATTGGTGGATGCTTTTACCAGTGTAACGTACCAGTGGTCAATGTTTCACCAACAAGTTGACCAGAAAGTAACCTTTCATTTGCAGACACAAAAACACCATCTGTCTGGCCTCCAAAGCCAGAACTCTGTCCCAGTTCTTATTACTAGCCAAAGAAGCCATAACATGTTTGCTCAAGGCCTCATGCAGAAGCCAGACTGCTGCATCCTCACTAGGAATAAAAGTCGACCTCCTCGAAGTTCCTACGTGACTTTACAACTTATAAGTTGGAATAATCAAATGTGTTGAATGAACAAGATGTTTAAATCAAATGTTTGAATAATCTGTGCTTTAATGAACGATGGCTTTAAAATGAACATTGTTCCTGCAATGATCCATTTCAGATCTTTTCCACACCAGATCATTATGTGTTGATTTACCAAAAGTTATTCTATCAATATACTCATACACATTATAATAAGATTATTATTACTGATAACATCCACTTTACCTGTTTTAACAACATTCTCATTCACAAAAAGAGTTAACCTCCCTGAGGACCTGACTGAAGGAGGGACTTCTGAGGTATATTTTGGTACTGACCTCAAACGAAATTCTGATTTGCCAAATTTATCAACAATGTGATTTTAATAAAACAGAAATTACTTCCCCATTAATTCAGTTTGCAGCTAGGGTTGTCACGGTAACCTGTGTAGCGGCAAACCCCGGTAAAAAAGTGGACAATAATAATAACCGTCTTGTTTTTAAAAAACTACATTATCTCGGTGGATTACCGTGGCTGCGGTATAGGCGCGGTGACCCTTACCAGCCACCGTATCATCTGCTGAAGTTGCTGGCGGCACATGCACACTTTGTTGTTTACAACCAAAACTTTCTTGAAGCTAAAGCTGAAATAATGGCCAAAGGAGGAGGCGGCAGCACTCAGGACATTTATTATCCCTCAAAGAAGACAAAGTCAGAAGTATGGGCATTTTTTGGATGTTTGAAGAATGCCGAGGGACAGTTTATAGAAGACGGCTATCCTGTTTGCAGCACATGCAGAAAACGTGTCTGTGAAAGGCAGCAACGCTTCAAATCTCATGACACATCTGCGTGACCATCACCCACAACTCTACAGTCAACACAAGGCAAGCTTATGTTAGCGTTTTAGCTAAAATGCGTGAACCGAGGATTTGGGTTGAGGGAGAATGCAACGAGTCGCTATATAAAGCAGCCGCAGCGCCGCTACCTGCATATAAACCGTGTCGCGGACACCCCCATGTTGAAATGACGCTATGCATTACGGGGCTCCCAGGGGCAGATAAGAGTTGGTCTCTCTCCGAGAATAATTATGAATTTAACAATGATTACTGCCTGATGACATTTTCCCAAATCTGCAAAGCTCACTGGAAGGACACAAACCGAGGACAATATTTTCCTGATATAGGGTTTATTATTCAAGTAAGGGTAAAAAAAAGTATCTGATTAGAAGGCTACTTGAGTACTGAGTATCATCTGATCTAATATTTTTAAAACGATGACATCAAACAGACATAAATAAGAAGTTATGGGCAAATATTGGTATTTTAAAGACTAAAGGGAAAAATGTAAACAAATAAACAACATAATTACAAAATAACACATTTTAGGCAAAATTTAGACACAAACTGAGGACAATATTTCCTGACATACAGGGTTTATTTAATTGTGTGAAAATGTAGCACGTTTAAAAAAAATACCGCGATAATACTGAAAACCGTGGTAATTTTGGTCACAATAACCGTGAGGTTAAATTTTCACACCGTGACAACCCTATATGCAGCTGACTCCCGATTCGGCCAAATCGGGAAAAAGCATTTTCTCTTTTGACCAAGTCAAAGCCTCTCTGCAACGCTGCTGATACAGCCTTAGACGCAAACAAGCATTCCAGCTTCCTGTCGTGACCTGGGGATATCTCAAGATAGACGGGTCATATCAGAGCTAATCTACGAGTTCCTGGCACCTCGAGGTCCATGTCCATCCCGACCTCATGACCCCCTGGATCTGAACTGGGATCTCCACAGAAAGGGTATTGTAGACTCAGCAGATTGCATTGGATGGTTTTATAAACAAATCTTTTGTTTACCAAACAGACAGCCAAATTCTTTTACAACCCAGACTACAGGTTAACCACTCATTAGTCTATGGTTCATTACTCATTACCTCCTAAGTCGTTCCCTAGTAACGAGGCAGAATTTTGTGTCCCGTATTGTAAAGTGTTACCTTTAAACCTTCAGGGTGAATAAA